ATAGATAGATAGATAGATAGATAGATAGATAGATAGATAGATAGATATAAAATAATAGTCTTGTTGAATATATTTTACCACATGCATATTAAAATGTCTATCCTATTCTCAGTAAAATCCATAGATCTATTACTTTCTTCTATTCAGCATCATATGCAATTAATTTCTGCCATGCCAAGTTTTTTAAGTGTGCTGACAAATCCTCTGTTACCATTCAGAGACCAGAAGATTGGAATAAGTGGGAAGGGAATATTTATGTGCAAAAAGAAATTAAAGGAAAGAGGAAATCTGTTTTTTCTTAATAGCAAATTGTTGAGGTTTGTGTATGAAGTCTTAGTCATGCTCTTACACAGATTAACTGACAAATTAGCATTAGGCTAGGGTAAAAAGCAGCTGCAATGGATAGCAGTGTCAGTAAACAAAAAAGGGAGGGACAATCTGTGTTGCTGATTCTCATTGGAAAGGAGAAGTAATTCCAATATCTTCCAGGCCTTCCTACATCTGCTTTGAAATGGTTGGAGAAAAATAAGAGGGTCTTTTTTTCAGATATATTTATTCTGATTAATACAATATCTAATTTTTCCCCTTGAATTCAGTAATGTTGCCACAATGGAGCATACATGTGGGTTATTTATTATTTGCAAATCTTCTAAAACTACTGTCCTAAATATTTTAAAGCTAACAGTATATTTTAACTTATATTGGTCCTTTAGTTCATTGAATTGATTTAAGGGTATTTTAGTCTACCATAGAAGAGAGCTGTATCATGAATAGTCTGTAGCAGGATATCTGTTCAAATTTATTTGGAAGTTTTGGTGTAATGTTAATAAAGACTTATAAAGAAATCTTAACGGTGTATGTGTCTGAAGCTATAATAAGATAGCAGAATGAAATATTTAATGCATGCCTAAACTGCAAATTCATTCTGTGATATGATGTTCTAATCAATATTATTTTTTCTAGGAAATTCCAAGTTACGGGAAGTATTGCATTCTGCATGATTTGAAGGCTTTCAAGTTTGATCTGTTCTATGTCTGTTGGCTGAAGGAATGTAAACCATAAGTTTTTAGAACTGAACAAAAATTGGCAGAAGTACAGTTAACAGGTAAATATTTCTTGATAATTAGAATGGAGTACATAACTGATCTCTAGCTGTTCGAACTTAATGTATTAATTAATGTATTAATATGTTTGGAACACGTATGTGCCAAAGATGTTCTGTTTTCTTACTCTTTGCTGTATTTATGAGTTTTCAGTTTCAGCATCATTCTTAATTGAAGCCCATTAGCTTCATATTTACAAAAATACAAATAATCCCCAACTACAATTGGAATCTGTTGGTAAGCAAGGCAGTTAAGTGAATCATGCCCGATTTTATGTCCTTTTCCCCCATGATTGTTAATCAGATCGGTGCAGTTAAATGAATAACAGGTTGTTAAGTGAATCCAGCTTCTCTCATTGACTTTGCCTGTCTGAAGCTGGCTGAGAAGGTCACAAATAGCAGTCCCTGGGAGACTGGAGAGCACAGTGGTGCAAGGCCGGAGGCCAGTCTGTCCTTCACCTTGGCCAAAGTGGTAAAGTGCAACAGCGACCAAGAGGCCTGGCTGGTCATCCACGACCGCATCTATGTCATCACCCACTTCCTCGATGAGCATCCAAGGTTCTGCTTGAACAAGCTGGTAGAGATGCCACAGAGAGCTTTGAAGTTGTTGGCCACTCCATGGATGCTAAAGAAATGCTCAAGCAGTATCTCATAGGAGAGATCCATCCGGATGGTCATAAACCTGATACCTCCAAGGTTCCAAGCCCATTCCATGAGTCAAACATCTGGATGGTCCAGGTGACCCCATCCTGGGATCCTTGGTTCTGGGTTTGATGTATCACTATTACATAATGGATGGCAAATCCTCCTGACTTGAGTTTTCAGGAGTTATCGCACCCATATCACTCCATTGATAGCTGTACATGTTTTCTAACTTCTGATGGCTTCCAGGTGTCTTTCACTTTTATCCGTCAGTTTAATGCCTCTGCTACCTGCAAAGCCAAGCAGCGATCTAGGTAAACCACCATCTTTGCTGTAGACTCCAGAAACTGTCATTCCACTGTGGTATACTTTTTCAGGCATCAGCTACAAGTCGTTTTTATTTAAATGGTTCTGATGTAGAATGGCAGTCCCTACTTATTCCAGCTTGTCTTATCAAGCACTGTCAGCAGCCACTGTGTAGCCAGGTTTCCTACAAAAAATGATCCCACCAGCATCTGCCAACGGGGCTTGCTTGGGAGGATTTTCTGTACGCTTCTCCTACACTTGGATTTTCAAATGGTTAAATTAACTATGTATTTTTAATTGTGTTTTGGTTTACACAGTCCTGTTGCATTGTACGCCTATTCTGTAATATAAGTCTCTGGACCAAAAAAAAAAAAAAAAAAAGCAATCCCCTAACCTTGGGTCACTGCAACTCTTGTAAATACATGCGGTTTGCCAATTGCCCAAATTTTGAGCATGGGGATGCGATGGTTTTATGTGTGAGGACTGATCACAAGTCACTGTTGTCATTGCTGTTGTAACTTTGGTCACCAGATGAATGGCTACCTGGATAATAGCAGTTTGTAATCTCTGATAGTTAAACGATATTCTCTTGTGCACCATATACATTAACCAAGTTTTAGATGCTTTTTTGTCAGTCAGGAACAATGCTATCTATTATGTAGCTCAGTGTATGTAAGTAAGCTGATGTTGTGAGGAGAGTTATTTGGGATTGATCTATGATTTCTGAACACCATTGAGTCATAGAATATTGTAGATGCCATCTAATTTATACTATAGATTTAAAAAGATTGATCTTTTGGAGTTCTCTGATCTATAGATTCTTTTTAAATATGTTGGCTTTGGGGGAAAATAGATACTTTTTTCAGGAATTGTAGAAAACATTTGAAAGAAGTACTTTATTTTGCAAAATGTATTGATGTGAGAGAAGCAATTCTCTTCAGAGCATTAAAGCAACCAAAAGCATACACATATTTCCAGAGGCAATTGGGGACAGCTTTGAAGCAGCAGCGTAGTCCTTGTAAAAGCTGCAATTGTTTTTATTTTTTGAATATAGCTTTGTGATGCTAACATGACAAAGCACCTATTTCCAATGCTTTGAAGAGCCGTATAGTTAAGTTGTTGCAAGATACGGCTGCCTCACCCCCCCCTTTTAAAAAAAGCTGTGCTATACATGGGAAATTGTTTGAACTTTATATCTAGATGTTGGGCTACTAAACATTATTTTAGATTAATTACCATGAGTACTGTTTTAATCTTTATTATTATATATGGGTTCACATGCTTGTGTTCTGTTCAACTATTACTGATTATAGCTGGGAAATATGTATCTGCTACTTCATATTAAAATAGAATAAGTAAAAGAACTATGCATATTAAAACTACTATGGCTAATTTACAGATATGACATGCAAATGTAAAATGGGATTTGTGATTTGTACATTCTTTATTATTTAATAACAAAGGAATAATTACTACATATTTCAAGGTTTGAGTTCAAGGTTTATTTTGTCTGTAGGACACTAATCAGTTAAAATAAATTCATTCATTTTGAAAAGCTAAAACTAATGCTTACTAAGAAAGCCTGGTTGAAAGGCATTTGTTTCTTTAAAGTGGAGAATACAAGTCTTGATAGAGTGCGTTCTATAAGAAGGTTATATTTCCAAAGTAGTCTGAAATAATTATCATTATTTGGCTGTTTTGAAGACAGACTTTGGATAGCTGGATTTTGCTTTTCCTTGTTTTGTGTTGTATTATGATACTCTACTCAGGATCACATTTTCTTTTGCAGATACCTTTGTAAATTAGGAAACATGGGCGCATTTTTGGATAAACCAAAAACTGAGAAACATAATGCTCACGGGGCAGGAAATGGCCTGCGTTATGGCCTCAGCAGTATGCAAGGCTGGAGAGTTGAAATGGAAGATGCTCACACAGCTGTTGTAGGAATTCCTCACGGTTTGGAGGACTGGTCTTTCTTTGCTGTTTATGATGGTCACGCAGGATCGCGCGTGGCAAATTATTGCTCAAACCACTTATTAGAACATATCACTAACAATGAAGACTTCAGGGGAACAGAACAGCCTGGCTGTGCTCTTGAACCTTCAGTAGAAAATGTTAAGAGCGGAATCAGAACTGGCTTTTTGAAAATCGATGAATATATGCGCAATTTTTCAGACCTCAGAAATGGCATGGACAGGAGTGGCTCAACAGCAGTGGGAGTTATGATTTCACCTGAGCACATTTATTTTATCAACTGTGGAGACTCACGTGCTGTTCTATATAGGAATGGACAGGTCTGCTTTTCAACACAAGATCACAAGCCTTGCAATCCAAGGGAGAAGGAGAGAATTCAGAATGCAGGAGGGAGTGTCATGATTCAGCGTGTTAACGGCTCATTAGCAGTGTCTCGTGCTCTAGGGGACTATGACTACAAATGTGTTGATGGCAAAGGTCCTACAGAACAACTCGTTTCTCCAGAACCAGAAGTTTATGAAATTGTAAGAGCTGAAGAGGATGAATTTATTGTCTTGGCTTGTGATGGAATCTGGGATGTAATGAGCAATGAGGAACTCTGTGAATTTGTTAAATCTAGGCTTGAAGTATCGGATGATCTGGAAAAAGTGTGCAATTGGGTAGTGGATACTTGTTTACACAAGGTATGTAAACTTTTCAGATTAAAGATTATTTTGGATGTTCCTTTTACTGTTAAAACTGAACAAAAATTAATTCTAAAAATAGCATAAAATTGAGATTGATGAGTCCACCTTCATGTGATGGCAGTCTTACTAAGCATTCACCTGCTACTTGTTTGGGCTTGGCAATGTACTTTATACAACCCAAATAGCACTTTTAAATTTTTCACAACCTAGTTTATATTTATTCTTAAAAGTTAATGTTTATGTTTACCCTCAACGGACAATATTTAAAAGACTCGAAAGTTAGTTTCTTTTCATGGAGCAAAGGTAATATTGTTTCTTCTTCAAAAAAAAAAAGCTTGGAAATTGTTAGTGCTTTGCTTCTCAGTGTTTAAGCGCTTCCCCTCCCAACTCAAACCAGTGTTGTTGCCATTGATTTTTCCAGGATTTTCATTTGATAATAATGAAATTCACATTACTATTTAAAGTGTGTGTATAGTCTTTAGGGTAAAGCTTTAAAATTTTCAGAATTGATGATACAGATTTTTATATATATTCAAATTGCTCATTATTTGTAAACAAATAATATCCAATTTTCAGTTTTCTAAAACTGTTAACTTAAGTAGAATGTAGTGCAGTTGTTTTATATTTGATGTTTTTTAAAGCAGAATCTGATTTTCAAAGTGTTAATAACTCAAATATTTCAAGTATCTAAAATTGTTAATAACTAAAATATTTCAGGTATCTAAATGAATTTCAGTCTTTCATATATTACAAAATTAAGACTTGAAGAACCATAAAATGTATAAGGGCTCCTATAAATTAGTCTAATCCATCCCTGCTAAATCATCCCAATAATTGGCTATTTAGCTTCCAATTGAAAATTTCAACTGACAGAGAGTTTGTCACTACAGGTAATCCTCAACCTATGACCACAATTGGGAATTTCTATTGCTAGCCAATGCAGTCATTAAAGTAATCACATGGCCAAACTTGATTTTATAGTCATTGTGGTCGTTAAGCAAATCCAGCTTACTCAATGAATTTTGCTTATTGGAAACCAGCTGGGAGGGCCACAAACTGCTATCACGTGACCATAAGTCACTGCAACTGTTGTAAATGTGAGTCCATTAACAAGCACCTGATTTATGATCACACAACCTCATGGTTAGTGGGATGTCATAACTTTCAAGATGGGTCAGGAGCCACTTTTTCCAGAGCTATCGCAACTTTGAATTATTATTACACAAGTTGAAAGTCAAAGATTACCTGCATTGTAGTCACACTGTTTTTTTTTTCCTTAACATTTATCACTGGGAAAGTGTTATATTCAGCTAGAACCCTTTTCTTTTAATTTCAGCTTGTTGATTCTTGTTAAGGATGTGCAAATCTCACTGATATTGGAGGAGTCTGATACAACCAAATAGATAGATTTTTTTTATGATTGTAAGTTGCCCAGAGTTACCCTGTGATAAGACGGGCAGCCAGTACATTTTATAAATAATAAATACATTCCAATCCCCTATCAGAATGTGTGAAACTTCCTCTCAGATGATGCTATTCTAGGGGTGAATATTCTGTTCCTAATTCAGTGAATTTTGCATATCCCTAGTCCTTGCCCTGGTCTCAAGGTATTAGTAAGTTTCTTTCCTTTTGTATGTGACATACATTTTGTAAATCCCTTCCATATTTTCTTCTCTTTGCAAGTTAAACCTGACTGCTTTCTTAATAATTTTTCATAGGGCTAGGTTTCTAGATCCCTTATTCTCCAGTGTGCTGAGTAGAGAATCCAAGGAATGGGTTAACTCTTCTACTCGGAAACTGAGTCAATCAATATTTTGGTCACACCTCCTTTGCTTGTGCATGCCCAGTTTTGACTCGGTCTTTGTTCAGAAGAGACGTATAGAAGAGTGCTCTTAGAACAGAAGGACAGAGTTATTCCTTGGATTCTGGAAAATTACAGTAAGGTCCCTGGCTCTAATCTCTAACAACGTGGAGGATGCTCTGAAGACAGGATAGGAAGGTGCATCAGGCAGCTACTTGAATGGTCAAAGCAGCCACAGCCGCCTCATTCTTCAACTGGGCCTCATTGCTCTGGCTCCACCAGATGCAAGCGAGGGTTCCTCCTGGTGACCTCTGCTTACACCAGGACTTTGACAAACTGGTAGTGGCTACAAAATTTTCAGTGGATGCTACCTTGAAGGCCACCAAATTTGCTCCCAGGGCCATTGCCTCTTCGATGGCAGCCTGTTGGCTACTTTGGCTTCACCATTGGCAAGTGGACATGAAGTATAAGTGAAAACTGGCCTCTGCTCCCTTCAAGGGGAGTAAGCTGTTTGGAGAGGCTCTAGAGCCCATTCTGGTGGAGACTAAAGACAGGAGAAAGGTCTTATCTTCACTATACAGATGAGCTGACCGCCGTCCATCACTTTGTTTCCATAAGCCTTTCGGCGCAAAGACCCAGGGTTTGACACCTCTCAACCCCAGAGATGTATGCCCACAGACAAGTCTGACCAGACAGATCCG